GGCTGCCCCTCTGTGTGCCTCTCTTTCCCTTGCAGCTGAGTGGGGAGGCCGGGGCCTGCGGGGCAGCTGCCGAGTTGCTGCAGAGCCTGGCGGGGGCCGTCCACACCCAGACCGTGACCCTGCGGCTGCCGGGCATCAGCCGCTTCCTACTGGACGGACGGGGCCAGGCCATCGTGCAGGAGCTGGAGAGGCGCTTCCGCTGTGTCGTTGGGCTGGAGAGGGTCCGCTGGAGCCCCCCACTCTCGCAGGTACGGGTCCTCTGAGGTGCCGGAATGGTCCCCTGCCCACAAGGAGGGAAGAGGTGGCGTGTCACGTGGGCACCTGGGGAGGTGGCGAAGGCCTGGAGGGGCAGGAACACAGGGGCCAGGTGGGGGAGGGGAGGAGTAGGAGTGGGGGGGCAAGGGCCTGGGGGGGGACGGCGCGATTTCCCATTGGGGAAGAGTGACTGAGGGGCAGGTTGGCCGCTGGCGCCAGGGCCTCTCTCACTTTTGCCCTGTCCCCGCAGCATGAGCTGGAAATGTCCCAGACGCCTCTGGCCCTGAGCTGCCGACGGGATTCCGCCCACGAGGAAGAGCAGGCCCGAGCCCTGCACGGAGCCGCCGGCGAGCAGAGCAGAGCCAGCCTGGGTAACCAACTCCCCTCCTGCCCCCGCCCCCCCCCCCGAGGTCTGGAAGAGGAGAGATGAGAACCCGGGTGGGGGGGTCGCCCCGGAAGGGCGGGCTCTGGGGATGTGCACCTGCCTCCCCTGCCAGCCACGGGCCTCCCTGGGGGGGGTCGGTTCCGTGCTGCCCGCCCATCCGAAAGCCTGCTGTGGGGGGGAGGGCAGGGACTCTCAGTGCTGTCCCCTGTCTGCGATGGGGAGTGTCGTGGAATTGGGGAAACGACCCCCCACAGCAAGCCCACGTATCTCCCCATCAACGCTCCCTCTAAGCTGTGGACTCTTGTGAGCAAAAATCCTACTTTGTGAACTGCTGGCATTAAAGTTGTGAGCGAGCGATTCGGCTGCTGCATCAATTAGTTTGCTCTGGAGCCCCATCCCTTCCTGAGCTAAGACACAAATGTGTGAGCCAGAGGCTAAAAAACGGTGAGCAGGCTCACACTCACTCTGTTTAGAGGGAACCCTGGTCCCCATCCTGTTCCTGCCGTTGTCCCCTCCCCCTCCTCCTCCTCCTCCTCCTCAGCCTCTTCTCCCTTTGCAGAAGAGATCCAGGGCTTGCTGGTGGCTCTCCAGCCGGCCAGTGTCCCTGCTGCTGCTGCTGCTGCCCCTGCCGAAGGGGAGGCCTGGGCCCTGGGCGGCCACGAGGTGGAGGCGGAGGACCTTTACTCTGCGCCGGAGCCGGAAGCCGTGGCGGCGCCCTCTGCTGGCGAGGAGGAGGCGGCGGTGGTGGTGGCGGTGGACGAGAGCCTGGAGGAAGGGCCGCTGTGCCCCATGGCTGACCCCAGCATGGCGGAGGAGGAGGCCCAGCTGCTGCTGGCCATACAGCAGTCGATGGACAGTGCCGGGCAGGAGGAGGAGGAGCTGCGGCGGGCCATGGAGGTCTCCCTCCGCTCCTACCAGCAGGAGAGGGCCGAGGCGGCCAGTCCTGACGCAGCCCTCGAGGCGGTGCTCAGCATCTCTCTGGAGGAGGCCCAGCAGACGGCCGACGCGGCCCAGCTGGTCCTCTGCGCCGTGTCGGAGGGGGACGCGGCCTGCCTGTCTCAGGAGCTGGAGGCGGCTCTGCGGGCGCAGCTGCGGGAGGAGACGGTGCACAACGAAGGCCTCCGCTCGCTGCCCCCCCTCTGCCTCGGGTACCGGACCCACCTGGAGCGCAAGCACGCTGTGAACATCTCGCTGGAGGGCGCCGTGGCCACGGTCCGTGGCTTTGCCGATTACCCCGTGGCTGCCACCCGAGATCTCGCGCTGCTGCTTACCCGGCTGCTGCGGGCGGAGGCGGCCCGGGGGCTGGGGGGCGTCTGCTGGGTCCACTGGCATGCCTCGGGGCGTGGGTCTCCCACCCCGTATTCCGCGGAGGCCAGCGCGCTCCTGGAGCAGGCCTGGTGCCGAGGGCACAAGCGGGTGGACGTCTTCTTTGACGGGCAACCGTTCACCATTGACTTTGAGCGCATGGAAGAATACGACATTGGCAATGCCCGGACTCTGCCCATCGGCCGTACCGAGCGTCCAGTGGCCCCCCCAGGTAGGTGCCCCCTCCCCCCCGCCCAGGCCGTGCAGGTGCGTTGGGTGTGGCATGGCCTGAGGAGTTGGGTCTCCCGCGGTGGGGGGAGCGGGGGGAGCTCGGCCCCGGCATCCTTCCCCTGGTGAGCGACGGCTGTCATCCGCAGCTCCCCGCAGCCCCACAGCCCTGCCAGGCGACGAAGTGAAGCTGATGCTGCTGCCCGAAAGCTCGGAGGAGTTCCAGGAGACGGTGCGGCGGTTCTACGGCACGCTGGAGGATTTCCACAGCAAGATCCGCATAATAAAGGTTTGCAAGGGGGGTGTGTGTGTGTGTGTTGGTGTCTCCGGCTTGCAGCTTCTCTTCCTCTCCTCCCGACCCCTGTGTTGCCCTTCTCCTTCCATGGGGAGACCACTCGCTCTGTGTTCAGGCCACGGGCTTGGCTTGCAAGGTCCAGCAGGTGAGGCCACGGAGGGTTCTTGGCAAAGAAGAAGAGAAGAGATTGGATCTATACTCCATGGCCCTTCACTTCCCAAAGGAGTCTCAGAGCGGCTGACAAACTCCTTTCCCTCCCCCTCCCCACAACAGACACGCCCTGCGAGGTCGGTGGGGCTGAGAGAACTCTGACAGAGACTGCTCTTTTTCAAGGACAGCTCTTGTCAGAACTACCGCTTGCCCAAGGTCATCCAGCAGCTGCAAGTGGAGGAGGAGTGGGGAATCCAACCCGGTTCTACCAGATTAGAGTCCGCGCACTTCACCACCCCACCAAACTGGCTCTTGAGGGGCCCGTGATGCGGCTGGGGGTGGGGCGGAGCTGCAGCTTTCCTGGTCACCCGAAGGCCTTTTCCTGTTTGGTGTCAAGCTCTGGCACATCTGTTGGCCTTCTGTGTTCCTATTAGACATATTATTCTTTAGCGTTTGCTTTTTGCCTTGCCTGCTTGTAATTGCTGTACCTCTGCCCTTGCTTGCCAGTTGACATTCCGGGGGTGGGTGGGGGGAGGTGTTGCTTGAGCATTAGGGAGTGTCGCTTGGCAATCTTCTGACGCGAGCCCCAAGACCCCTTTCTCTTGAGACTGTCCTTGGCGGAGTCTGTGCCAGGCTAGGTTAGATGGGACAACCGTATCTCTGTCTGAGTTGCTGTAGAAACGCGTGACGTTGGAGTGAATGGGATTTTGGGGTTCTACCGATATGTTGCTTTTCCCCAACTTTGAGAATTAGTCCTAACAAGGAGTTTGAACCCACAGCATCTCATATTGTCTCTAACAAGGCATCATACTGCCAGAAGTGTGTGTGTGGAGAGGGATTTGATGGGGGTCCTGACACTTGGTCTGACTCTGGTTCCCAACTCTGGCTTGGGAAGTTCTGGACATGGGGGGGGGTTTGGGGGGTGGAGCCTGGAGAAGGCAGGGTTTGAGGAAAGGGACAAACCCATAGAGCCCACCGCCCCCAGCAGCCATTCTCTCCGGGGGAACTTGTCTCTGTCATCTAATACTGGGAGATCTTCTCTTGGCCCAGGGAGAGATTTTTCTCTAGACTTGAATGCCAGTCGCTTCAAAAACTGCAAGCTACCAACGACTGTGCTGGTTTCGCTTTTCTGTTAAATGCAATCCGTCAGTGGAACTTTTTAAGAAGCATGGCGGGGTCTTCACATCTAGGCTGCAGCTTCCTTGGGCCAGGAGGGGCTGCCCAGGGAATTTGGGGGGGGGGGGGAAGGGGGGGGGGTTTGTAACCTGGACCGTCCCCCAGGAGAAAGTAAAATCCCCAGTCCCAGTTGCTGGCTGCAAGGGCCTGGTCTCCTCGGAGGGGCAACCGGCCGGCAAGAGAAAGGGGGGTGAAGGAGCGTGGATTTCTCTGCTCCGGGGAAGAGATGCCTCTGTAGAGAACCCCTTCTTGTCAGAAAGCCTCCCGGGCTCTGCACCGTGACCCCTTCCCCTACGGAGGGGAATAGGCAGGCTGATCATCCTTGGCAGGTGTTACCTCGGAGCAGAGCTCAGCAGAGGTGTGTGGGTGTTCCACCCCCTCCCGCCGGCTCCTTGCCCCCCTGACCTGCCCCCCTTGCCCCCTAACCCTCTCTGGCAGGTGCAGAAGCTCTACCACCCGCTGCTGTACCAGCAGTACATGCTGAAGAGAGCTGCCATGGAGAAGGCGTGTGGGCACCAGGAGGTGGAGCGGATCCTCTACCACGGCACCACGGAGCCGTCCAGCCGCGAGATCTGCCAGTTCGGCTTCAACCGCAGCTTCTGTGGCAAGAATGGTGAGGGGCCCTGGGGATGACCGGGAAAGGGGCTGCCGGGTGCTCAACTGACCGGGGGGGGGGGGGGCCCCTGCGACGTCTACCCTGCTTTCCTCCCCGGTGGGGACCCTGAGAGGCTGCCATTGTCCTGCTCACCTCCGTTTTGTCATCACAACTACCCTGTGAGGTAGGCTAGGCCAAGAGGGTGTGGCCCAGGGAGCTTCCATGGCAGCGTGGGGCTCTGAACCTGGGTCTCCCAGACCCTCAGTGACACCCTAGCCCCTGATTCGCCTGCTGCAGGGGCACCACTTGGGCCTCTGGGCCGGGTTGGGGGGAAGGTTTCTAGAGCAGCCATTTTCCTTTAAACGGAGCGGAGCAGAGGGCTGGAAGCAGCTGGGGGTCTTTGGGTCCTGAGGGCTTCACCACCCCGTCCATTTGCCAGTGCTGAATGTCATTTGCCACGTTATTGCCCACTCGCGTGATTAAGAGCGATCCCCCCCGGGGGGGAGGCGCTTCACCACCTGCCTTGGTTTTCACCACCATGAATAGCTTGGGAATCATCCGCAAACCTGGCCGCTTCTCTGGTCACCCCTGCAGCCCAAATCCATAAGAACATCGGAAGATGCTGGGTCAGACCAGTGAGGGTCCACCTAGTTCAGCATCCCGTCTCACACAGGGGCCAGCCCATTCCCATGGAGGGCCAACAACAGGGCAGAGAGGCCGAGGCCTTCCCCTGAGAAGAACCTAAGAAGAGCCCTGCTGGGTCAGACCAGTGAGGGTCCACCTAGTTCAGCATCCCGTCTCACACAGGGGCCAGCCCATTCCCATGGAGGGCCAACAACAGGGCAGAGAGGCCGAGGCCTTCCCCTGATAGGAATCTCAGAAGAGCCCTGCTGGATCAGACCAGGGAGGGTCCCTCTAGTCCAGCATCCCGTCTCACACAGGGGCCAACTGGTTCCTCTGGAGGGCCAGCAACAGGGCAGAGAGGCCGAGGCCTTCCCCTGAGAAGAGCATCAGAAGAGCCCTGCTGAATCAGACTAGGGAGGGTCCCTCCAGTCCAGCCTCCCGTCTCACACAGTGGCCAGCCAGTTCCCTCTGGAGGGCCAACAGACATGGCAGAGAGGCCGAGGCCTTCCCCTGATGTTACTTCCTGGTTCTGGGATGCAGAGGCTTTAGTGCCTCTGGTTGTGGAGGCTCCCCTCAGTCACCATGGCGAGTAGCCATGGTGCTAGACGTATCCTCCATGCATCTGTCTAATCCTCTTTTAAAGCTGTCAGCTCCTGTGGGCCATCACTACATCCTCGGGCAGCCAATTCCACGTTTCTGTGTTAAGTAGTTATTTCCTTTTGTCCTGAACCTACTGCCCATCAGCTTTAATAGATGCCCTCCTAGTGTTTTTTTTTGGGGGGGAGAAAAAATCCGGATCACTTATGAGCCAAGGCAGACCCCTGGGGCACCTCCTGGCCTGGATCCGGCCATCCTGCCCGTGGCCTTCCTCCAAGGGAAGGGCTGCTTGTGCTGGAAGAGGAGGGCCTTCAGGCTTGAGCCAGAGGGAGAGGAGTCGGCGTGGCAGTTAAGAGTGTCGGCCCAGGATCTGGGCAGCCCAGGTTCGAATCCCTGCTCTGCCGGGGCAGCTGGCTGGGTGACCCTTGGGCCCAGTCACACACTCTTAGCTTCGCCCACCTCACAGGGTCTTTGTGAGGAGAATGATGGAAGCAGCTTTGGGTCTCCACTGGGAAGAAAGGCCGGATATAAATACATAAAATGTGAATGACAAAGAGGGAAATAACTTTGCTCAGTGCTGGGTCTCCCCCCCCCCCCCCACGGCTTCCTCTCCACCCTGGCCCGTGGCATCCCTCCCGCAAGCGCCCCCCTCCCCCACTGACGGCTGGCTGCTTCTCTTTCTTCCGCCAGCCACGCGCTACGGCCAGGGGGTCTACTTTGCCGTCCAGGCCTTCATTTCGGTGCAGGAGCAATACTCGCCCAGCAGCGCGGACGGCGACAAGTACATCTTTGTGACACGGACTCTGGTCGGGGACTACACCACCGGCAGCCCACAGCTGCGGGCGCCGCCCCTGCGGGAAGGAGACGCTGCGTTGCGGCGCTATGACAGTGTGGTGGACAACCTCCAGGCGCCCTCCATCTTCGTCATCTTCAACGACACGCAGGCCTACCCCCAGTACCTCATCACCTGCCAGCGCTCCAAGCGACGCTGACGGGACCCCGCCGGGTGGAGCCGCTGGCTGGCGGAGGAGGAGGGCCCCCCTGCTCCCTCGCGCACCCTCGCGCTCCCTCTTTCTCAGGGCCCTTCTGATCCAAAGTGTCCTTCTTGCGCGGTCCGGGGCAGGCTCACGAGGGCAGAAGGCCTTCTTTTGGCCCCTTGTTTTTGGACGTTTGAGGCTGGGCTCACGGTGGGGGTGGGGGGTGGTCTCAAGACCGGGAAACAAACCACCACCACCAACACGGAGGGAGGCAGGCCCGGCTCGTCTCGTCTGGCCCCCGCTGGCAGTCCTGTCCCTGTTTGACTGGGCATTCACGTGGCGGGGGGGTGGCGGGGGCAAGAACCGGACCTTCCACTGCTCTCTTCACCTGCGTTCTGCACAGCTAGCCAAACGTCATGCCCAGATTCAACAGACTGTGTGTGGGTGTTGGGGTTTGGGTTTTTTTTTGACACATTGCTGTCCTGCCACTAGCCCAGTAAATGGTCTGAATGCTTCAGCTTCTCACACCCAGTTGTATTATGGAGTCTACGTGGCTGGATTTCTGGGATCTGTGAGCCAGCGCTCCTCGTCTCTCTGTCTTTTCTCTCACCCCCCCCCCCCCCAGCGAAGGAGGGAGGGGGCTTTGGTGGGGCCCTGTTTCCCCACCCACCCCTTTCCCCATGGCAGGGCCACACCTCTCCCTTTTTGGGGGGATAACTGGAGGAGGAGGAGGAAGAGATTGGATTTATACCACCCGCCCTTTACAACCCAATGGAGTCTCAGAGCGGCTGACAAACTCCTTTTCCCTCCTCCTCCCCACAGCAGACACCCCCTTTGAGGTGGTTGGGGCTGAGAGAGCTCTTGACAGAGACTGCCCCTTTCAAGGACAGCTCTTATCCGAACTATGGCTTGCCCAAGGTCATCCAGCCAGATGCAAGCGGAAGAAGTCGGGGAATCAAACCCGGTTCTCCCAGATGAAAGTCAGCGCACTTCAACCACTACACCAGACTGGCTCTCAAGACTTCCTGCTGCCAGGCTGGATTTTTCTGACGGGGGGGAGGGGAGGGGGGGAGGCAAGCTGTGGGTGGGCCTGGCTCCCTCCCGTTCTGGAAAGGGGAAGGCCTGGCCTGGTGGGGGAGGGGCTTGTGCTGCTGCCAGACCCGTAGCCACGGTGGTGCCAAAGAGGGGCAATGCCCCATCGGACATTCCTGATAGGTGATTTTAACTACCCACACATTGATTGGGTCAATATGTGTTCTAGTCGAGAGAAAGAGATTGAGTTTCTAGACACTCTAAATGACTGTGCTATGGAGCAGATGCTCACAGAACCTACCAGGGGAGAGGCGATCCTTGATTTGGTCCTAAGTAACACTCAAGACCTGGTGAGAGATGTAAAAGTGATTGCACCGCTTGGGAACAGTGATCATAATGTTGTTGAGTTCAACATTTGTACAAATAGAGAATTGGCCAAAAAGACTCACACAACCATTTTTAACTTTAAAAGGGGTAATTTCTCTGATATGAGGGGACATGTGGGGAGGAAACTGAAAGGAAAAGTAGAAAGGGTCAAAACCATTGGGGAAGCTTGGAAACTATTTAAAACTACGATCCTAGAAGCTCAAAAAATATATATTCCGCAGGTTAGGAAAGGCACAAACAGGTATAGGAAAAAGCCTGCATGGTTTAACAAACAAAGTAATGGAAGCTGTAAAAGGTAAAAAGGATTCCTTTAAGCAGTGGAAAGCTAGTCACAGTGAGGCTGATAAAACGAAACACAGGCTATGGCAAATAAAATGCAAGTCTGTGGTCAGGCAGGTAAAAAGGGAATATGAGGAGCATATAGCAAAAAACGTAAAAACCAACAATAAAACTTTCTTCAAATACATTAGAAACAGGAAACCAGCCAGGGAGGCAGTGGGGCCCTTGGACAACCAAGGGGTAAAAGGAGTATTGAAGGATGATAGGGAAATGGCTGAGAAGCTAAATGCATTCTTTGCCTCCGTCTTCACTGTGGAAGATGAGAAGTGCTTGCCCACTCCAGAACCACTGATTTCAGGAGGGGTGTTGAAAGACCTGAGTCAGATTGAGGTGACGAGAGAGGAGGTCCTAAAACTGATAGACAACTTAAAAACTGAAAAATCACCAGGCCCAGATGGCATACATCCGAGAGTTCTGAAAGAACTCAAATGTGAACTTGTAGATCTCCTGACAAAGATATGTAATCTTTCCTTAAAATCTGCCTCCATTCCTGAGGATTGGAAGGTAGCAAATGTCACTCCCATCTTTAAAAAGGGTTCCAGAGGAGATCCGGGAAATTACAGGCCAGTCAGTCTGACGTCGATACCGGGTAAATTGGTGGAAACCATTATTAAGGAAAGAATTAGTAGGCACATAGATGAACAAAACCTATTGAGGCAGACTCAGCACGGTTTCTGTAAGGGAAGATCTTGTCTCACTAACCTGTTAGTGTTCTTTGAGGGGGTGAACAAACATGTGGACAAGGGGGATCCAATAGATATTATTTACCTTGACTTCCAGAAAGCTTTTGATAAAGTTCCTCATCAAAGGCTCCTAAGTAAGCTCAAAAATCATGGGATAGAAGGACAAGTCCTTTTATGGATCAAAAACTGGCTAGTTCATAGAAAACAGAGAGTGAGTGTAGGTGGGCAATTTTCTCAGTGGAGGGTGGTAAGCAGTGGGGTACCGCAGGGATCAGTACTTGGTCCACTGCTTTTTAACTTGTTCATTAATGATTTGGAGATGGGAGTAAGCAGTGAAGTGGCTAAATTTGCGGATGATACAAAGTTGTTCAGGGTGGTGAAAACCAGTGAGGATTGTGAGGCACTCCAAGGGGATCTGTCAAGGATGGGCGAGTGGGCGTCAACATGGCAAATGGGGTTCAATGTGGCCAAGTGCAAGGTGATGCACATTGGAGCCAAAAATCCTAAATATAAATACACATTGATGGGGTCTGAACTGGCAGAGACTGAGCAAGAGAGAGATCTTGGAGTTGTAGTGGATAACTCACTGAAAATGTCGAGACAGTGTGTGACTGCAATAAAGAAGGCCAATGCTATGCTGGGGATTATTAGGAAGGGTATTGAAAACAGATCAGCCAATATAATAATGCCCCTATATAAATCAATGGTGAGACCTCATTTGGAATACTGTGTGAATATCATAATGCCCCTGTATAGATCGATGGACCTCATGTGGAATACTGTGTGCAGTTCTGGTCACCACACCTTAAAAAGGATATTATAGCTTTGGAAAAAGTGCAGAAAAGGGCAACTCGAATGATAAAAGGGTTGGAACACTTTCCCTATGAGGAAAGGGTAAAGTGCTTAGGGCTCTTTAGCTTGGAGAAAAGACGACTGAGGGGTGACATGATCGAGGTTTATAAGATTATGCATGGGAAAGAGCAGGTAAAGAAAGAGGTACTTTTCTCCCTTTCTCACAATACAAGAACTCGTGGGCACTCCATGAAATTGCTGAGCGGTCGGTTTAGAACGGATAAAAGAAAGTACTTCTTCACCCAAAGAGTGATTAACACTTGGAATTCACTGCCACAGGAAGTGGTGGCGGCTACAAGCATGGACGGCTTCAAAAGGGAATTAGATAAGCATATGGAGCAGAGGTCCATCAGTGGCTATTAGCCACAAGGTATAGCTAGGGGCTCTGGGGCAAGTGATGCTCTGTCTTCTTGGTGCTTGGGGGGGGGGTCAACAGTGGGAGGGCTTCTAATGTCCTGGCCCCACTGCTGGACCTCCTGATGGCACTGGTATTTCTGGCCACTGTGTGACACAGAGTGTTGGACTGGATGGGCCTTTGGCCTGATCCAACATTGGCGTCTCTTATGTTCTTATGTTGTATTCCTCAGGCCCCCTCCAGTCAGCATCGGGCTGGTATGAAATCTGTCACTAGTCTCTGTGTAAAGGAAAAAGGAAGTTGAGGTGAAAGGCGTGAATCCTGACATAAATCTCACAGGTGTGAATTCTCCAAGCAGTTGGCTAGAGCAGAAGTAGCTGAAGGGCTGAAGTGTCCCAATTTAAAAAGCCTGCAGGGGGGGAGGGGCAAAACCAGGTTGGAGTGAAGCAGTGTTCCCTTTAAGCTGAGTTATTGTGAGCTAGCTCACAGTTTCTTAGCCTCCGGCTCATACATTTTTGTCTTAGCCCAGGAAGGATGGGGCTCCAGAGCAAACTGATTGATGCAGCAGCCAGTGTTCCCTCTAAGCTGAGTTAGTGTGAGCTAGCTCAGTGTTTTAGCCTCCAGCTCACATTTTTCTCTTAGCTCAGGAAGGATGGGGCTCCAGAGCAAACTAACTTATGCAGCAGCCAAATCGCTCGCTCACCATTTTAATGCCAGTAGCTCATAAAGTAGAATTTTTGCTCACAAGACTCCACAGCTTAGAGGGAGCATTGGAGTGAAGTACAGATTAAGAAATGAAGGGGTAAAAATCATGTTGTTGCAGACCCAGTACAAAGCAAAGAAAAAGACAAGGAAGAAGAAGGTTGAATTTATACCCCACTCTTCACTCAGAGTCTCCGGCTCACAGTCTCCATCCCTCCCCTTCCCCACAACAGACACCCTGTGAGGTAGGTGGGGCTAAGAGAGCTCTGAGAGAAGTGTTCCTGAAAGAACAGCTCTGAGAGAACTGCAACTGGCCCAAGGTCACCCAGCTGGCTGCAAGTGGAGGAGAGGTGGGGAATGAAACTCGGTTCTCCGAGATTAGAATATGCCGCTCTTAACCACTGTAAGGTAAAGGTTCCCTTGCTCGAAAGCCAGTTGAATCCGACTCTAGGGTTGCGGGGCTCATCTCCATTTCAAAGCCGAAGAGCCAGCGCTGTCCGAAGACGTTTTCGTGGTCATGTGGCTGGCATGACTAAACACCAAGGCGCACGGAACGCTGTTCCCTTCCCACCGAAGTGGTACCTATTGATCTACTTGCAATTTCTTGCCTTCGAACTGCTAGGTTGGCAGGAGCTGGAACTAGAGACGGGCTCACTCCGTCATGCGGCAACTCGGGTCTCGAACTGCTGAACTACTGGCCTTCCACAGCCTGGAGTTCAGTGTCTTAACCACTTGAGCCACCGCAGCTCCTACTTAACCACTGTACCAAACTGCAGAACAGGCCAGTGTTCCACAATAGTCCTGCAAGAACTGTGGGGAATTTTTTTTTTTTTTTGACAGAACGGGCAAGATTTAGGCCCAGAAGCAAGTGAGCACAATTCTTCTTTCGCTAATCTATGCTACCCCACAGGACTCATAGGGGAGGGTTGTGGTGTTTGCAGTGAGGATGAGAAAGGATCCCTTTCCTGCCCCCTGTTGCTTGGCCCTGTGCAGGTTCACGTAGAAAGAATCCTGCCCACAGCCTGATCCCGTGCATTTACGGTCCACCTTTCTCACTTGAGACTCCGAATGAGTCACACAGTCCATCAGATGAGACTTCTGGTAAACAATGCAGTCAGACTTTATATCCATCTGAGACACCAAAAATCATTCGCCCTGATATGTCAGACATTGCAGAAAGGTAGGAAGCGATGCCATAAGAGCAGGATCATACATGCAGCAAGCAGGGAATGCATAACACCCTGTGTGGCAGTGCAC